ATCTGGTGTTAAGGATGGCCTTGCAGGGTCCCAGGGCATTTGGCCTGTGGATAGTCCTCTGATTGGACACTCAAAATATGGTAACCCTACCCCTCAAGGATTGAACTCACAACCCTGGGTTTAGCAGGCCAATGCTCAAACCACTGAGCTATCCCTCCTCTAATCTGTTATCTAAGATGGAAACTGGAAGACAGTAAAGGAAGAGCCGTTTGCCACTTCTGAAGAGTAGGACCGTGGTCTGTTGCCAGAATATCATTTGAATGGGCCACAACCCAGAAACATAGCAGAGTGCAAAACGTTTCCACCCAAAGAGTTATGTAGAAGTCTTTATAAGAAGAGTTGTCATTTTGCATAGGCTCAGTAGATACAAGTCTCTCCTTACAGATCTTTCTCCAAATAAAAATATATATTTTTTTAAAAAAGAGGAAAAAGTGTAAACTTCTGTGATTAGTCTTCAGGGTTCTTAGAAGATATTACAAATAATGAGGGGCAAAATGGATCAAAATTACAGAAAGTATTTGTTCTTTTAAAATGAGAATAAATAGAGTCATCTGGGCTACTAAGGGCCTCTGGGGAAAATTGCTTAAGTCTTGAGGAGGGCCAGCACATGGAGGGTTGTTGTGTCCACATGGAGCCACAGTTGCAGGCCGGGGGAGGGCTTAATCCTTATTGAACTAACAGCAGCTTATTCTGATCCTGTCAGTGACAGTCAGTAGAATTGCAGTTGTCTTTATTTGTGCAGATTTTGTCTCATCTAATGCATTACCAAATTAAAGATGATTATTTATAGCGGGCAGTGTAGGCAAAAAGGGATTGCTTTGGCGCCTGATTACCAGGGTGACTTATCATTATAGGGGTTTTTTATTATTATTTTTGCACTCTGTGTTCCTAATCAAAATCAAGCTTTAGTGGAACATTAATGAAGGCCTGAAAACCTTGGCAGTGTCCCAATACAGATGAAAGTGAGTTAAATAAGTGTATTTGGGACTCTGGAAGTTGGAAAGGAATCTCCTCTTCACTATGTCTGGAAAATGGTCTGACAGGTTTGTTTGTTTTTTTTCCAAATGAGGATCATCTCACAGCAGAAATTTATTCAGTAGTGATATACTGATTCTAGAGATGGGTTTTAAGACAAAAGTAACTTTAGGGGTGGGGGAGGGGGAATTCCAGGAAACTGCAATTATAAAAATGTCAGCAGTGTTTATTCTTTGTAGCGTAACCAGATGACACCACAGGTGGTTGCCTGCCTGGCTGATAACATTTGCAAAATATTGTTCCACAATTGTATTAGAAAGTAAAATCTTGCCAGTAATTGAATGCTTTAAAAGGAAGCTTTGATATATTTATTTTAGTCTATGGGGAGTGGAAAAAGGGTCCACTCAGAATTATGTAAATAATTTTTTCAAAGGTATTCCTTGCTCCAGTTCCTTTGCCATGAGGCTCTGATTTGAGAGTGCAAGGGGATTCTAGTACTCTAGGTTGAGGATAACTTTCCTAGTGAGTCCTGCTAGTTTATGTATAGATTAACTTTGGTGTTTGCTTCAGATGAGCGCTGGATTCTTTGCTTTGACCTATATACATTATAACAGTTTGAAGTTTATAACATTTTCTTAAATTCAGTACATTGCTAGTTATTTATTTTCAAATCTTTTGATCCAAGGATAATTGCACATTTCTTGCACAGGTTCTTTTTATTTTTGTGCCTGTGAAAAGAGCCAGATTGATACCCATTGAGACCAAAGTCTGCCATTTTTCCACAGAGTAAGTGCAGTCTGAGCAATGCAAGTCAAACTTCCCCACTCTGCTGGAGAGACTACTGCTATAGATGCTTCAGTTTATATAGCCATTCCTTCCTTGGCCTTTTTCCCAAGATTTCCAACAACTGTAGTAATTAGTGCCCATTATGATGGTAGCTTTTGTGACCACAAATAACTGGTTTCAGACCACAAACACACTTCACATAAGCCCCAAAACACCTCTGCTAGTAATACCTTTTAGCACTAGTGGCTTGGGCTGAAGTTGAACAAGTGTCGTAGAAGTGAAAAGCTGTGTGTCCCTTTGCATGTCCTCTGAGTCCGACCTCCTTCTGCAGAGTATTAAACAGCATTAGCTCTGGGCTTTAAATATCTGAGACTATATGATGTAGTAATTTTGGGAATCTCTTCACCAGAGCTATGGGATGATAAATAGGTTGGTAAACCTAGGTTCAAAAATCAAGGGAAATACATTTATAAATACAAAATAAAACATATACTGTAGCAGTGCACTGATTTATTTTGGGATTAGGATCAAAGATTATTCCTTATAGCAGGGGTCGGCAACCTTCGACACGCAGCCCATCAGGGTAATCTGCTGGTGGCTGCAAGACATTTTGTTTATGTTGACCGTCCGGAGGCATGACCCCCCCGCAGCTCCCAGTGGCCGTTGTTAGCCATTCCCGGCCAATGGAAGTTGTGGGAAGCGGCGTGGGCTGCAGCCTGTGGACAGTCAGTGTAAACAAAAACAACCAGGAGTCCAGTGGCACCTTAAAGACTAACAGATTTGTTTAGACAGAAGCTTTCTGAAGAAGTGAGGTTTTTTACCCACGAAAGCTTTTGCCCAAATAAATCTGCCACCGGACTCCTTGTTGTTTTTGTGGATGCAGACTAACATGGCTACCTCCTGATACTTGACACAACATAAACAAAATGTCTTGCTGCCCGCTATCCTGATGGGCTGCGTGCCGAAGGTTGCTGACCCCTGCCTTATACGTTTCCATATGGACCCTCATCTATGTGTTTCCTCAGGGGTATTGGCAGAAGAATGTTCTTCCCTTTGGAGACATGCCTTTTAAAACAAAATAATAGTAAGGGGAGCATCTAGATAGAACGGGTGTGCTCATAGTCCCGCAAACTCCCCCTCTACTTCTGCCACAGAAATATGGACAAATACAGTAACCTTTAAAATGGCAAGGCAAAGCTTTCTGTCTCTCCAGCAAAGAAACAGACGCCAGAGTTGAAGTTTCATATTATGCTGTTTAAAATATCTATTTTCTGTGTATGAGGAATGATGTGTTTAGTGAGGCTGACAGACTGTCAGTTGGCTGCTCTACACACTACTTTCCAGCATAAAAATAAACTGCAGATGTTCCAAGACAGATATATCAAGATACTTTAACTTTGGTTTCGGGTTTGCAGATGTTCTGTTTCATTAGAAATAAATCTCAGGGTTAGTGTTGATAAAAATGCATTCTCCTTAACTCCACAGACTGAGTCTTGTGTGTGTTTAATACATTTTGACCTGTAAGCACTTTTGTTGTTTTAAATACACCTCTACCCCGCTATAACACGACCCGATATAACACGGGTTCGCATATAGCGCAGTAGCAGCGGGGCTCCAGCAGCGCTTTAAAGGGTCCAGGGCTCCGGCTGCTACAGGGAGCCCTGGGCCCTTTAAATCACCACCGGAGCCCTGCTGCCCCTACCCCGGGGCTGCGGCAGCGGGGCTCCGCCAGCGATTTAAAGGGCCTGGGGCTCCCCGCAGCAGCCGGAGCCCCAGGCTCTTTGAATCACCACTGGAGCCCTGCCGCCCCTACCCCGATATAACGGCGTTTCACCTATAACGCGGTAAGGATTTTTGGCTCCCCGCGACCGCGTTATATCGGGGTAGAGGTGTACCAGAACAAAAACACATTTCTTGTCTTTTCTTCCCATAATAAGTAAACCAAAATAAGTTATTAACTAGGACCCCTGTTGTGGAAGATGTTGAGTACTCATCTCTCATCATAGGTGTTGGAACTAGTGATGCTGGGGGTACTGCAGCACCCCCTGGCTTGAAGTGGTTTCCATTATATACAGGGTTTACAGTTTGGTTCAATGGCTCTCGGCACCCGCACTATACAAATTGTTCCAGCGCCCCTGTCTGCTGTTGTTTGCAATGGTTGTTGGAAATGTTCAGCACCTAGCAGAGTATATCTTCTAGGAGTTGTCCCACAATGTTGGACCTGTTGTTTTAACAACTTAATTAATCTTCTTGCCGGAGTGAATTTCAATTAGCCTATAGTTGACTGCATGGAGCTGAGCTGGGGATGGGGAATCATCCAGATATTACTTCCAGATGAGTTTTAATTTATTTCCAAGGACAAATAGAACTGTTTTACCTGTCTGAATTACTGTAACTTTACTTTAATACTTTGATATGCTGCTGGGTTTTTAAAACAGAAAATAATGAGAATATTGTCTGTGTGTGCTTGTAAAACTCAAGTAAGGAATGAACTTGGTGCAAGAGTGTAAACATGGCACTGACAGCTGTATTTCCCGCAATACATTTGATGGCTGGCACTTGCATGACATACTGGCTTGTTCCTTCTTTTCATGTAGAAAATGTAACTGGATACAATTGGCTATGGTTCAACTAAAGTTACGCTGTTTTGTGTATCATCTCATCACAGCTGCAAAGTAATTACTTCCAGAGTTGGGTCTTCCACCTTGACGGGATGGTGAATGTGTAAGGGAGCGATGAGACAAAGCCGATCCAGTTTTGTTTTTTATAAATGCAAGATTCTCAACAACTTCAAGATTCAAGTCAGACTACTTTGTTCTCTTTTTAATTTTTAGTTATGCGAGTCGGTGGTGTTCTTACATCACGCAGCATGTACTGTAACGTGAAATTTGCTTTGGGAATATAACAATAAGCCACACTTTGAATGACTTTGTGCTTCAGGTCTAACCGTGGGCCCCGCGTGCATTTGACTCTGTATTCACTTACAAAATAACAAACTGATGAGATTTCAGCAGAGCTAAAGCATGACTGGGTGGTACCCTAATCAAATATTAAGTCTCCTGAGGTTCTTTTTTGCCTAGGGAAGCAGCAGCAGCTTGAAGCCGAGCACCAGGACATGTATGTCGAAGCTGATCATGACCTGCACCTAACAACACGACGTTCGGTACAACCCCCTGCAGAAAGACCCGGGGAGAGACGTATGGCTGAAATGAAGAAACTCTATGGTGTGGGTGCGGCCAAAATCCAAGCCATGGAGACTGCCATGCAACTTGCCTTTGATAGGAACTGTGATAAAAAGCAGCCCAAGTATTGGCCTGTTATCCCCCTGAAACTGTGAGCTGTATCATCTTCTGTACTAGCAGTCCAGCGCTGCAGCTGTGGGTGCCCAATCAGGCTACATAGCTCAATGAATGAATCAGGGTCGTCACTTGTTCTCCTTTCCCCTCCTGCCAAACACACTCCTCCTCTTCTTTTTAATCTGTCTACCAGAGTTTTCAGAACCTATAGCATCTCCACAGGGAAGTGCTAAATTATTGATTTGTACTGTAGTGAAATTTTACTTCTTTTAAAATATATATTTCACTAATTTAATGTTGGTCTGCCTGGACCATGCTTGCAGGAAATGCAGTAGCATTTGTTTGCACTTAGTGAGCTGGGAAGACTGTTCAGCAACACAAAAATCTCTACAAATGATCCACTTATTTATTATTTTTAATGTAGTAGCCTTGAGATCCATTTTAACACAGTACAGCTTGAAGTGTTGTGAATTCTGAACCCTCATCCTTGATTTGGGGATCCTGCAGTCAATTGGCCAAGGTACAAAATACTAAATTACTGTAGCACAGCCATTTGAATGCTCTTTGAAAGCTTTATAATAAGGCAGGAATTTTTTATTCCAGTCTGAAACTTGGCAGGCAGAATTTCAATCCAGAAGCAAACTTATATGAAAACATTAAAAAAGAAATTTTGGCCATTTTTATTATACAACTGTTTGGCATGGTAGCAAAAATGTCTAATTGATTTGATACATAAAAAAAAGAAAAATTAAACCAACAGAGAGGATTAGGTTCCAGTTCTGTCACCCTTCACTCACACTGAGTAGTGTCTTACTCAACTAATAATTCCATTGATTTGTGAACTCACTGAGTAAGCAATACTCACTATGAATAAAGGAGGCAGAATTGAGCCCTTAATGTTGAAACGTGAGTACTCTGGATATGTAATCATGAAAATCCTTCTGAAAAGCAGCTATGTGTCACTATTGTATACTTAGTTTTCACCAAAACAAGTTTTCACCCAGTCAAAGTAATACAGACTTCAGACATTTTTCTGTAGAAAGAGTTGTGTAAAGATAATGACGATTAAATGGCCTCTCTGTGTAATATGCAGTATTTCCATGCTACATTATAAGTGGTTCCAAAGAAACGTATTAGTGACTTAACTGTCATAAACAATGGGTGACCCGTTTTTGCGGTAGAGAAGGCTGAGGCTGAAGTTCCAACCGTTTAATTTGCTCTAGCTATGTCCTGTACTTGCCTGTACGGTCTAGCTGTTGTAGCTTGCGTGGCATATAATAAACCACATTAATCTCTCTGCCCTATGCTATATACTGGTAGACTAGAGCAAATTTCAGATTTAACTTTGAATGTCCTTGTTCTTATCACTTGGTGTTACAGCATCAAAAGTACTTCTTTTTTTATTCTAACTGAACATAACATGAAGCGGGAAGATTGAACTCCTTAAAATTAAAAGCTTCCAGACCCCAGGACTCATTACTGATGTAATTGAACTAACAAGCTTGTACACAGGGAAAAAAATAAGTTGGGGTTGTGAAATGTAATCCTGCCTTTGGTGTACTTTAATTTTGTCATGGTATGTATGTTAGCGATCGACTACGAAATGTCAGGAATAGTGTTTTTGTTAGGATCTCTCTTGGTTGACAGAATAAACTTTTATCTTCTCATAAAAACTCTGTGATAAAAATTATTTGTTTTTACATCCTGCCCCAGCTATATAACGCTTTATTCAATGCCCAGGGGTGATAAACCTTCTCTTGCTCTCTCTGTTTGTTAGGGAAGGCTGCACCTTGCCCTGGTGCAGCTTTAACTTAGTTATGTTGTGAAAAGCGCATATGGGTGCAGATGAGGGTTTCACCGGAACCGTTGGCCCACTCACGGCCTATCTGGTAAGGTGCAAAGTGGGTGAGGAAGGCTGCTGTGCTTTTTGAGGGAAGGGCATCTTCCCTTCCAGATCCATATGAATGGGGGACTCTGCTGCCCTGGCAACATCAGCAGCTATTTTGGGGCTGGGGTGGAAGGTACACCCCCTCACACTTCTCTGCTCCTGAAGAGCTTGCCAGGGAATACACTCTTGGGATGTATATCTTTTTGTGGAGCCCCCTCTGTTAAAGGGATCTTCTGTACAGTAGAAGTAGTCCCAGGGGAAATAGATCTGAAATGCCTGGGAGTGAGAGGGTAGGCTGCCCGGGGACAGTTAAAGTGAAGTTACAGTGGATCTGTGGAGTTTAAAGGCAGGTTTCATGACCTGTTCCAAGGGGGACCAATCCTACCTTCTTCTCTGTTCCCCCCCATCTCCAGATGAAATAATGTGGGGAAATCGGGGAGATGATTTCATCACCCTTAATTTCTCTCTCAGGTTTTTATGGGAGGGGTTGATCTGACTCCTCATTGGTTTTGCAGGAGGGAGCTCCACACGTGATGCCCTGCAGGAGTGATGCATCTCGGGTTTCGAGGAGGGGAGCTCTCATCTGCAGACTTACAAGGTGTGCAAGAAAGAGGCTCCCTCCTACAAATCTCCCAGCTTTCATGGGACAGGCTGTTGCATCATGTTTAGCCAACTAACTCCACACACAGGCAATTCAGTGGAGTTTTGAAGTCTTTTATTACAATAATTCTTGTTGTTCCATCTTTTTTGTTTGTAAAAGAATCTGGGACATTCCAAAAACCAGATTGTGGAAGCTTCACAGTTAAGGACTCAGATGTGAGAAAATACCAATGTTGAGATTACATGGGCAACACTAATTCTGACCCCTTGCACTTATGTATTACGCTGCAGTCCTTAATCACATGCCTTCGTAATATTTCATAGGCTTGGTCTACACTACCCCCCTAATTCGAACTAAGGTACGCAACTTCAGCTACGTTATTCACGTA